GTTTATTTACATGAAGTGTATTATTGGTTATGGGGTTTGTAGGTTTTTCTCCTAAGCCCTCTCCTATTTATGGGGGTTTAAGCGTTATATGTTTAGTGGTGTGATTGGTTGAGTGATTACTTTAAATTAGGGGGGGACTTATATGGATTTAATGATATTTTTAGTTTATCTGGGGGTATGATAGTTGTCTTCGGTTATACTACAGCAATGGCCATTGAAGAGTATCCTGAGACATGGGGCTCAGGGCTTGAGGTTCTAGGGGGTGTTTTGGTAGGATTAATGATGGAGGTAGGGTTGGTTTTATGGGTTTTAGTTTGGATGAAGTAGTGGCGGTGGTTAATTTTAATAATATGGGTAACTGGGTGATTTTTGACGGGGAGGGGTCGGGGTTAACTCGAGGTGACTGTATTGGTGCGGGTGCCTTGTATGATTATGGGCGTTGGTGAGTGGGTGGTTGCAGGGTCATACGTCATTGCTTCCATATGGACTCCAACCATAACCAATGATACGAAAAACCATCGTTGTACTTCACCTACAAAAGCACCAGTGATTCCGATACGCAAATCCAACCCAATCATAAAAATCATCAACCACTCCCCCCACCCCACTCCCCAACTTCCGGGGCTTCTCCGGCCCCACCCATACCCAGGCCACAGTGACCTGGGCCCTGTGGGTCCCAGCTTCCGAGGGCGGGCTGGCCCTGGGCTCCTCCGGCCTTCCTGAAGGGGTGGAGCCTGTGGGCCTTTATAAGGGCCGCTGGCCGGCTGGGCCGGCCTCCTGGCCGGACCTGCTCGCCGTGCACAGGCCGACTGAGGGGCACTGGAGCCCGCCGGCCTCTCTCTGCCCGTGTCTGTCCGCGAAATTCCGGCCAGGTCTCCCCGCGATGGCTCTCCCGACACCCGGCGACGGCGCCCTCCCGGCGGGAGCCCGAGGACGAGGACGGCGAAGGAGACTCGTTTGGACCCCGAGCCAGAGGGAGGCCCTGCGAGCCTGCTTTGAGCGGAACCCGTACCCGGGCATCGCCACCAGGGAAGAGCTGGCCCAGGCCATCGGCATTCCGGAGCCCAGGGTCCAGATTTGGTTTCAGAACGAGAGATCGCGCCAGCTGAGGCAGCACCGGCGGGAATCTCGGCCCTGGCCCGGGAAACGCGGCCCGCAAGAAGGCAGGCGACAGCGGACCGCCGTCACCCGGTCCCAGACCGCCCTGCTCCTGCGAGCCTTCCAGCAGGATCGCTTTCCAGGCATCGCCACCCGGGAAGAACTGGCCAGAGAGACGGGCCTCCCGGAGGGCCAGCTGTTCGCCTCTGGGCAGCCCTGGTGGCTCTGTGTGTGGGGGGCAAGAGGGCGCCTTGCAGGAGGGGCGGCGAGGGATCCGAAACAATGTTTCCGCGGCAAGGCGGAGGACCGGAGGGGATCCCAGGACCCTGAGTCCTGGGCCCTGACGCCTCGGAGCACACCCGATCCTGAGCCGGCCGGATGTGGTGGAAGCTCGGGAGCTCCCGAGCCGGGGAAGGCCTGCAGTGCCTGCGAAAGGAAGGCCGCCCGGAGAGCCAGTAGCCTGGGCAGGGGATGGAAGCATCACGGCCTGACGACGGATTCGTTTCCTGCAAGAAGGGGAGTCTCCCTATGGCCGGTTTGGAAACTGGAAAGGAGAGCGAAGACACGGCGCTGCTTTTCCACGCTTCCCTGGAGGTTTCTGGGTCCCCACAGAGCTGGGGAAACAGTCAATATGATCTCGCTTTCGGGGGCCAGAGACACGTGAGCAACAGGCCCCCTTGCAGAGGGCAAAGGGACGTGGAACCCGAAACCAGGCTACAGTCGGCCTGAGTGTGACTCCTGTGCGGACGGGACTATCCGCCTCGCGCTCTGTTGCAGGCTTAACGTGGGGCTATGTGATCTGTGGACCATGTGGATAAAAAACGGACAACCCTGCGAGTCTCGGCTCGTTGCTCTCTCGGGAAATCGCCCATTCCTTGGGAGGCGGAATTTGTCTGAATTGCTCCGGGATGAAGTGACCCAGGCTTGCGATCCAGGGGACCAGTGGGCGCCCCGCCGGCCAACGGGGCTGTGGGCCGAGCCCTTAGCCCGCACTGGGCACCCAACATTTTCCCGGAGTGCTGGGTCCTGCTGGTCCTGGAGGCAGAAGACCGTTTTTCTCTCTGCCTTCCTTCCTCTATCCCTGTTCCCTCCCTCCCTCTTTCCCTCCGTCCCTCCCTCAGTTCCTTCCTTCCTCCCTCCCTCCCTCTATCCTTCCATCCCTTCCCTCCAAGGTCCCTCCGTCCATCCGTTCTTTCCTCCCTCCATCGCTCCCTCCCTCCCTGTCTCCGTTCCGCTACCCATCTCTGCCTGCGTTGCCTCCGGCGTAGAAAGGGCAGCACCCGGGTTTGCGCGGGGTCTAGGGTCTGCGTTTAGCTGTCAGGCGCTCCAAGGTGATGCACCGGCAGGCGAGTCAAGGTGGCGGGGGGAGGCAGAGGTGGCGAGACGGGGAAAGGAGAGCAGGCCTGGCGGCTGTCTGGGCCAGTGTTTCCTGGGATGGAGGTCTCCGCCCACCCCACTGAAGAACGTGGGTGGGGGATGGGGGAAGGGACGAGAGCTCCGCCTGGGCTGGTGGGAAAACCCAGCCGGTCGCCTGCAAACCCGCGCATGCGCAGTAGACAGTCCACCTCCCGGTACCTGGGAGGGCTCCGGGATCCCCGGGATGCTCAGGAAAGAATGACAGCCCTGCTCTGTGTGGAGTCTCTCACCGGACCTGGAACTCAGGGATCCGGGCCAGGTCAGCTGGAAGGGAAGAGACGCCTCTCCACACCCAGCCAGGTGTTCACCGCGAAAGGGAGGCCACCGCCCCGCCCCCGATCCCGTCCCCAACCCCGCGTCCTAAAGGTCCTCCAGCAGAGCCCGGTACTCCTCCTCGCTGAGGAGTAGCGGTTCCAGCAAAGCGGGCTCTCCCACGTCCTGCAGCTCCGTCGGGGCCTCCGTTTCGAGCAAAGGTTGCGCCTGCTGCAGAAACTCGGGGGTGTCCAGGAGCTCATCCAGCAGGCTGGAGGGGAGTGCAGACGAGCGCCCAGGCTCCTGGAGCGGCGGGGAGGGCGCCCGGATGGCTGGCATCTGCTCCTGCCCCGCGGAGGCCTCCGGGGGCGCGGGCCCCGGAGGTGGAGCTGCCCCGACTTGGGGCTCCCACGCCGCCGCGGCGACCTGGGGCCCCTGGCCCCAGCCCCACCACGGACTCCCCTGGGACGTGGGCGGCGCCAGCACACCCTGGCCCTGCGGCTCAGCTCCAGCGGGCCCAGGCTGTCCCAGCGAGCAAGGGCCCGGCAGGCTGTGGTGCTGCGGGTCCCGATCCCCCCGCCATTGGCTCGGGCGCGGAGGCCACCCCCGGGGAGTCTGCGGGTGGGAGAGCGCCCCTTCCGGAGTCGCCAGGGCAGCGTAGGAAAAATCCCAATCCCCGCCTGCCGGGGCAGGATGGGAGATCCCTGCTGCCTGCGCAGCCTGGCTGGGCTGCAGCGGGGCGACGGCCCCTGCTCCCTGGCCCACGAAAGCCCCCGGTAGGAGAGCCCCCAGCTCGCAGGGCATGTGGGGTGCGGGAAGCCCCATTCCCCACGCCCCGGTGTGGGTGAAGGCGATAGAGGAAGGAGGAGGGTGACACCCTCTGGGGTGTCAATAACCACAGTGGCCTCAAAGAGCTCAAATGAAAGGAAGAATTGCACGTCTCTCAGTTTAAGTCCAGAACTAGAAATGATTAAGCTTAGTGACGATGTAGAATTTTCATGGCTAGAGAGAAATAATGCTTGGCTTCAAAACTTGGAAGGATGGGCCGGGCGCGGTGGCTCACGCCTGTAATCCCAGCATTTTGGGAGGCCGGGGCGAGAGGATCACGAGGTCGGGAGATCGAGACCATCCTGGCTAACACGGTAAAACCCCGTCTCTACTAAAAATAAAATTTAAAAAAATAGCCGGGCGTGGTGACGGGCCCCTGTAGTCCCAGCTGCTCGGGAGGCTGAGGCAGGAAAATGGCATGAACCCGGGAGGCGGAGCTTGCAGTGAGCTGAGATCGCGCCACTGCACTCCAGCCTGGGCGACAAGAGTGAAACTAACAAAAATAAAAATAGAAAAAGAAGGAAAGAAGAGAAAAAAGGAAAAAGGTTGCTGCTTATTGACAATTCACCTAGCTACCTAGAAGCTTAGATGTTGATGTACTTGGAAATTAATGTTATCTTCATGGCTGCTAATACAATATCTATACTTTAGCCTGTGAACCAAGGAGTGGTTTTGACTTTCAAGTGTTATTATTAAATAATAAATGCATTTTGTAAAGGTACAGTGTCATAGTGATTTCTTTGATGAATCTGGATAAACTGAATTGAAAAACCTTTTGGAAAGGATTCACCATTAATCCTTTAATGATATTTCAACCTCCTCCCGTGAATCACAAATGTCCTTAATAGTAATCCTTAAATGCCATTGAGGACATTTGTGATTGATGGGAGGAGGTTGAAACATCAACATTAACAGGAGTTTGGAAGAAGTTGATTCCAGCCCTCATGGATGACTTTGAGGGCTCAGGATATCAGTGGAGGAAGTTCCAGCAGATGCGGTAAAAATCGCAAGTCAACTAGAATTAGAGCCTTATGATGAGGTGAAATTGCTGTAAACTCATGATGATACTTGAACAAATGGGGAGTTGCTTCTTATGGGTAAGGAAAGAAAGTATTTTCTGGAGATGGAATCTGCTCCAGGTGGAGATGCTATGAACGTTGCTGAAATGACAGTGAAGGATTTAGGATATTCCATAAACCTGGTTGATAAAGCAGCTGCAGGGTTTGAGAGGGCTGACTCCAGTTTTGAAGGAAGTTCTACTGTGGATGAAATGCGATCAAACAGCATCACAAGCTACAGGCAAATCTTTTGTGAAAGGAACAGGGTATCAATGCAACAAACCTCATTGTCTTATTTTAAGAAATTGCCACAGGCACCCAACCTTCAGCAGCCCCTACCCTGAGCGGTCAGCAGCCATCAATACAGAGGCAATATCCCCACCAAGAAAAAGATTATGACCTGTTCAAGGCTCAGACATTTGTTAGTATTTTTTTTTTTTTAGCAATAAAGTGTTTTTAATTAAGGTATGCACATACAGTTTTTAGACATAAGGCTATTAACATACTCATTAGACTACAGTATAGTTTAAACATAACCTTTATATGCACTGGAAAACCAAAAAAATTGTATGACTAACTTCATTGCAACATTTGTCTTCTTGCAGTGGTCTGGAACCAAGTCCACAATACTTCTGAGGTGTGCTTGTAGGTTTTTTGTTGTTTTACGTTTTGAGATGAGGTCTCACTCTGTCACCAAGGCTAGAGTGCAGTGGCATGATCATAGCTCACTGCAGTCTCGAATTCCTGGGGCCAAGTGATCCTCCCATCACAGCCTCCTGAGTAGCTGGGACTACAGGCATGCAATACTGCACCTGGCTAATTTTTATTTGTAGAGATGGGGTTTCACTGTTGCCCAGGCTGGTCTTAAACTCCAGGGCGCAAGCAATTCTCCCACCTTGGCCTCCCAAAGTGCTGAGATTACAGGCATGAGCCACCACACCCAGGTTATCTGTAGTTTTTAAAACAAAAATATACTTTAAAAGTTAAAATATATTTTTACAAATGTATATATCTACCATAATAGTATCACACAGAATGGTTTTACTGCTGTAAAGATTCTCGGTGCTCTGTGTATCCATCTCTTCCTTCCCCTTGGTTCATGGCAACCACTGATCTTTGTACTGTTCCCATAGTTTCACCGTTTCCAGAATGTCATATAATTGGAATCGAACAGTATGTAGCCTTTCCGGATTGGCTTCTTCTCCTAGCAACACGCATTCAAGTTTCCTCCTTGTATTTTTTTGTGGCTTGATATATCATCTCCTGTTAGCAGTGAGTAATATCCCATTGCCGTTATACTTTTGTCAAGATTCAGAACGTACAACGTGAAGAGTAAACGTGAATGTGCTCTGTAAGCTTTGAGCGATAATGAAGGGTCCAGGTAGGTCCTGGTTGTCACAGGTGCGCTGTGTGAGGCAGGAAGCTGTCGTGGGGAGCCTGTGTGTGGGGAAGGGGACACAGGGGAAGTCTGTACTCTCTGTTATGTTTAGCTGTGAACCTGCACTTCTCTAAAAAATAAAGTTTATTTATTAAAACTAAAAAACATTAAAAAATTAAAAATTACAATATGCCATATACTTTCCAAATCACAAGACAGAGACAAAGACATAACAAAACAAAATGTAGAAAACAACAAACACAGGAATAAAACATCAGTGACAGAAGGCAGAAGACAGAAAAGAGGAGCCAAACACATAATGTAATTATTAGCTATATTCATTTATGCTAACTTATATTGATTTAACATATTAATTTTCACTAAATGGCATTAAAGGAGGTTTGAGGAATTTGCTCGTCACCTTCTGGATGACAGGACTCAATAATATTAACTCACTAATTTGCTGTAAATTATTTTAAAATATGCTCACATTTCAATACAAATTCCCTGAAGAATATTTTGGAACAAGAAAATGTGATTTCAAATTCATCTGACGAACAAACACACACTGAGAGCAAATATTACAAAATAAAACTGTAAGATATTTAAGGTCATTATAACTTTTCAAAATTAAACATTTGATATGGCACAAAAATAGACATATAAAAGAAAGAGAATTAAAAACACAGAAATTTTGTGTAATTTTGTGTAGTAATGGGGTAACACTTTGAACCTACAAATCAAGAATAATTATCCCATTGGTGGTATTATTGGAGTAATAAATGAAACTGCCTAAAATGTAAAGTTCTTACACATTTGAACACTATGTAAAAAACACAAGACAAACAACTGGGGACATTTTTACAATTATGTTACATAAAAGTTAAAATCCTTATGACATATACAATGTATAAAACAGTATGATTACTGCTATTACTAATACCATTACGATTACCTAGTCTTCTCGCACACCAGTCCTCTTCTGGTGCCTTGTGGTGAAACAGAGCCCTCCCTCTCTGGCCACAGGGAGGGATCCAGCAGGAACCTGAGCCAAGAAAGGCACCAAACCCTGGACCCTGCCTAAACCCACAGAGGGTGTGAGCCAAGCCGGGACCTCACAATCCCTCCTGCAATGCAGATACCCACTCACGGCAGAGGTTGGGTCCCTCTCTGGAAAAACTGTGTAACAATTATTGCAGAAATTTGTTTCTTATGTTCCCAGACACATGGAGAAAGCTGGTCTGGAAGACTGATGTCCACATGCTAAGAGAAGCAGTCACTCATGACACACACACTGCACACACCACACCATGTGCACACGCACACACACCCCACACACACCACACTGTGTGCACACGCACACAAACCCCAGACACCAAACAGCACACACCACACCATGTGCACACGCACACACACCACACACACACACTGCACACACACCATGTGCACATGCACACACCCTCCACACACTGCACACACACCACACACACCCCACACCCACTGCACACACACCATGTGCACACACACACCCCACACAGACACCACACCCACTGCACACACACCATGTGCACACACACACCCCACACAGACACAACCACACCCACTGCACACACACCATGTGCACACACACACCCCACACAGACACCACACACACTGCACACACACCATGTGCACACACACACCCCACAGACACCACACACTGCACACATACCACGTGCACACGCACACACACCCCACACCCACTGCACACACACCATGTGCACACACACATCCCACACACAGACACCACACACATCCCACACACAGACACCACACACTGCACACACACACCCCACACACACTACAGACACACCACACGACACACACATGAACCTCACACACATTACACACACAGCACCACACACACCACAAACACATCACACACATACCACACACATACACATACAATACACAGACACCACACACAGTACACAAACTACACACCCACACCACAAACAATGCACACACACACCACATACATAATACACAGTACATCCAGCACACCAAACACGTATCACACACACGTCACACACCTACACCCCCACATACCCCACGGCATACATACAATCCTCACTTTTTGGAAATTAATTCAGTTTTTACAGAGCCTGAACAGTAAAATATTTTATTGGCTTTTGAACGAGCCAAGAAAATGCAGATAAATACACATGTGTAACCACAAGGGCACAAGTAGCACGATGGAAATCACAACAGTAGATTAAACCCTGTAAATTGTTTATCGTTTTAAAAAAATGAGTCTTTCTCATTTTACTAAAAACTGTTGACCAGAGTAAACTAATGAGATTCTTACCGAGGTCAAAAGACTTTCTGGAAAAACTTCTCCTCGAAGAAACTGCACTGAAAACATCACTCCCATCGTGAAGTATTCCTTTAAGATGTTCTTCGTCCCTTTCCTGTCATGTGGAATTGCCAATTCAAATTTTAAAAGTGACTTTGAGATGTTTTTCATCTATTATTTAAAAAATGGTGAAGGGGTTTTCAATTCTGCCTTCAGCGGAGATTGACACGCCTCTGATTACGATGTAAAACTGAACACGTTACTCTGGCAGGCTTTC